TGTGAAAGGCAGGATAGCAGGTGTTAAATGTGTTAAAAACAGTGTTAGAATGACACAGATGGGATGTGGAGAGGAGGATGATGAAGGGAAGAAACCCATTTTGGAATAGAAAGAGACCGAGCTCGAGACGCTCCCAGGGCTTTTAGAATGATCGAATGTCAAATTGAGCAATTAATCGACCAGTCAATCAGCACAAAAGCATTTGACAACAATTTCGATAATCATTGAAGTAATTTATTAAGCAAACATACCAATCTACTTTGTTCCAGATTCTTACTGCAAATGTATGGCTTTGCTCTCTGTTATATAATTATACAGTGAATATATTTTAGTTTTGGCGGTAGTCAAAACAAGCAATTAAGAGATGTGTAGCGAAGGGCAAGAGCAGTCACCCCACCCGGATTCAAACATGGGTCTACAAGGTACCAAACATGCTACTTCGACTACAACACCAGAGAGCCAGGCTCATTGGTATGGCAGTTCAAGCCACTCCATCACAAGTCGTTACCTGTTAATAATTTAAAAGATATCTACCAGATTAAACTGATAATTAAAGTTGTTTTTAAAGAGGTGGTAGCATGCTTTTTGCCTTTTCCCTCTCCTTTATTGAGTTATATATCTTTTTTGTGCATGTAATGGGTTTGCAAAGTGAAAAGCCCAAAGTCCAGCCCAAAGGGAGTTCCCATCTCCCACAGAAAACTCTGCTCTGAACTGCCTGAAAACAGCTCGTTTGTAGTCCAGCAGTTTCCCTTTCAAAAATGCGCCTCATATAACGCTCACCAAGCGGCTTCTCCGACATGCCCTCAAAACACCGGTGGACCAAACACTAGCTACCCTCCAGGCAGTCAGTGGACATAAAGTTGTTACTGTGATGTAGAGACAGAGCTCAGTTAAAACTTTATGGATGAAAGATACTTTGTTACAGATTAATAACTCAGCACTCTGAAACTCTTGCTCCAGTCCATGTTGCTAAGCTGCTAAGGGGAACATTACAGCTGAACCAAAGCCGTGTTTACCTGCTTCTCACTGACCTGCCCTTCTCTGCTTCTGATTGGCTAGTAGTCCTTAACTAGGAACTGCGTATTTGCAACTCCGAACAAAGATCATGTAGAGGCAAGATGTATAACTCTAAAGCTAAATCAAAGCCTTCAACCTGCAGTGTGAAAAGAGGAGCTGCAGCAATGTGCAATATGACAAAAAAATATGGTGTCTTTTTTTATTTTTTATTAAACCATGTAAACCTGTTCTGGTACAACCCCACGGCATACATTACACTCAGTTGCCAGTTTATTTTTTAAAACCTAGCTAAAGCTACTGCAGCCCTAATGCAGCAGTCCTGCAATAAACCCTACCTTCATGAAGGTTATGGGGCATTATACAGAGAAATGTAACCAATATTTAGCCTATTGTCATTGATATTAATTGAGTGGACAAAGTAATAGAAACACTTTTCAACAGCGCTACAAACTACAGCCTCCAAAAAGTGACCATACATTTGAATTACCACCTCTCTAAAACTTAACATTGTAACCTTCATGAAGGTTAGATTTATTGCAGGGCTGTTGTATAAGACTGCACTAGTTTTAGCTTGGTGGCAACTGAGGGTGTGTTTGAGTTTGAGCTTCAATATGTTGACTTAAAAAACACATTTTACTGAAGAGTAAAATTCATATACATCATGCTGCAGAAATCAGATTAAGGACAAGATGCGTGTAAACACATGTTTTGCAGGTTACTGCAGTGAATGTGAACTCATTCTCTGTTTTCCTTCTGTAATCTGATTTCTCATAGCAACCTGCTGCCTATTGTCATTGATAATGGATTAACACCAATCCCATAAGGGTTTAGCGCGGTTCTCGTGTTTCACATCATAATAGAAGCAACCATGTCACTTCCAATGTATGTTTGCGTGTTAGAAGACAGAGAGACAGAGGGGGAAATCACTTTTAAAGCTCCAACGTGGGAATGCTCTTGTCATCGATGGTGTTTAGAAGTGCAGTGGCAGCTGGCGCATAGTGTCTCCCTTCATGTAGTACAAATGCAGAGTGTGTCTGTTTGTGTCCAGATATGCTCCTGCTACTCGCCGGGTCCTGCCACCTGCTCCGTCTTTGCAGTGTCTCTGGCACTGTCGCCCGAAGAGTCCCTCACGTTTCAGCTTCGTTTTACGTCTCCGCCAGGCCCACAGCAGCATTAGGCCTGCAGGAGTTTGTGCTCGGGTTCATACATGCCGCCAAAAAGCTGTCTGTCGTGAAGCTTAAGTCTGGCTTGCTGCCACCTGGATGTTGTTTTCCCATCTGTTTCCATCTCAGTGATCAATTCTGACCCAAATCTTGTCGGCTCAACTTATGCAGACCAGCAATGGGCAATTGATATTCTAAAAAGGAGACCTAAAAGCTTTTTGTTTTCAACAAAATGATCACTTCCCCTGTAAAGAGAAATGTTTTTTATTAGTGGCTTTTTAGTGAGGCAGCTAAAAGTGTTCTGGTCAAAGGAAAATGTTGAAAGGGTTACCGTCCAGAGCCAAAATGCTTGTTATGAAATCATAAAGTTCCCACAGTAATTTGGAATTCTGAAAAGGCTTTTCAAGACATTTCAACACAAACAAATATCATGTTATAACCTTTTATCTTCAAAATGTCAATTTGTAATGAACTAGTACAAACAGTCTTGTTTTAAACCTTGTGCCAGTGCATTTTTGAGGTAATCCTATTGGATTTAAAGGGTATTGGGGAAAAGGCAGACCTGTATTATTGCTCTTGTTGTACTGTAACACAGTCAAGCAACTATTTAGATAAAAATATTTAAGGAGACACTCAAGACACGTTGTGAAATTACCTTTTTTGAGGTGATCCAGTGAACAGTTTATTTGGCCTGAGCTGGAAGAAAATGTTCTAAACCTGACACTGCTGGCAAAGCTTGGGAACCGCGCCCCCCACCACATCTTTAGTTTACTTGGTAGGTTTTGCTCAATTCCTGGATGCCTATGGGATGATGATTATATTATTTGATATCACAGACACTCAACATTTGAGCCAAGATAGCCTTTTATTGCTGTTTGACAGAACTTCTGACTACACCAAATAGTTTTAAAAAAGGTCTATCCTAAAGCATTTATTAGTTTATGAGATACTAGTGTATCTCAAGTCTCACATGTAGGCTATTCTATGTGATCTCCATTTGATAACTACTGCGATAAGTATTATAATATTGTTTCACTTCTATTCCTGAGCCTCCCCTGAAACTGTTTGGGACAGTTAGCATTAGTCATTATAGCCAGAATGACTGAACAGAACAAAAAAAATAAAGGACAATTCCCACAGTCACAGCTGAGGCTATACTGTGTGACAGCAGTGCAAAAACAAACCACAATAATGAGTAACTTTTGAAAACAGATCCATATGCATATGCAATTCCACTTTGTTTTGTTTTTTAACTTCCTCTTGCAACGAGATAAGAACCGCTCTTGGTTATTTCACCGGTTCTTTAGTGTCATCATACTCATAAAGGTTTATTAGGGTCTTTACAACTGTTTTAACATCCAGCTGTAATATACAAGTTAATAAGAACTGTGGAGTGTAAAGGTTTTGCTTGTATATATTTATGTAGATTTAAAAATATAAGAGATGGTGTATGTAGTGGAGTTTGTGTAGTGGCTTATGAGCATCTTCTTTGCATGTGTGTGTATGTGGTGTGTAAACCTGTGAGTGTGAGCAGTGTGTTTGATGTTCCATTTACCCTTTTTCATAATTCATGGCATTGGGAAAATGGACTGAAGCGGAGGTGGCTATCGGGTGTGTGTGTGTGTGTGTGTGTGTGTGCGCGCGCGCGCACATGTGTGTAGCAACATAACCGGATGAGCGTTCTGTGGTTGGAGATGAAACAGACAAGAGTGTGTCTTTGAAATGCAAAGAGTGGCAATAATAGTGATTGGCCACTGTGTTGAGGAGGAGCAATGAGTTTTTTTCTCACTATTTCATCATAATGCACACACACTCTGAGTCTTTCCCTCACACACGCACACGCACACACACACACACACACCCACGCAGATTATTAATGACAGCATTGTTAATTCATTATTATTTTATTTACCTCTGTGACATAAAATTTGTGCTAATTCGGTGCAGCTCTGAGCTCTGGAGGGTTGTGTGTTTGTGTGTGACTGTGTTGCTTTGAGTGTAACACTGGCGTGCACACACACACGCACACAGTGTCTAGTGATTGGGCCTGGGGACCAATTTATTTACATGCAGTGGAAGAGGAACTGAGGATTGAATGAAGGGATAAAACAAAAAGGGAAGGAGAGAGAAAGAGGAAACAGCAGGGAATTATGGAGAATACCCAGTGGAACGAACAAGTTTCTTTACTGTTCCCAAGGACAGACGAGACTAATTTACTATTTAGATGGCTCAGTGTGTGTGTATTTTGTTTTGCCAGTATCTTATGTGATTTGTATTATATTTCCAGATACACTGCGTTCATCGGCGCCCAACTGTTTTACTTCCACTGTTAAAAGTAGCTAAACTTAAATTAAAACTACAGAGCTCCTCTGCAGTGTCATATATTCACTTTGGAAATAGGCAGTGTGGGTGGGGCAAGATAATTAGTAAATGTCGCCCTGGCAAGGAACAGGGCTAGAAAAATGGAGACACACTTGTGTGAGGACACACAGTGTACTCTACAGGTTGATATGCTGCAACTTTATAGTATTTATGTTTAAATAATGTGCCTTTTGGGAGACATTTTGTGTCGATTTGTCACTTCCTGCATGGGGAAGATTTCTTACCAATGACCACTCTGACAGCAGAATGTCATCGGCGTAAAACGAGAGAAGGATGTCAAATAATGGGAATGAGATGCTTACCTTTGTTAACATCCTTGCATTGATGCTGAATATGAGAAAAAATTCACTTTTTGTTACTTATGTTGTGTTATTAAAATATTTGGTGATTGTTGTTCATAGCATTTCACAAATCTTCTCTTTTTCTCTTGTCTTACAGGCAGGACGCCAGCGACCTCTCCGGACCGATACAAAGGTACTGTTGTACATCTTTTATTCTTATTCCGTCTTTTTCTATCTAACCCCTTACTAATTCACTCTGCTTTGGCCTCATCCTCACTGAGGCATGCAAGGTATCAAACCAAGCTCTGACTACATCAACAGGTACTTTAACTTCAACACTGGAGTGGTGTTAGCAGGGTGGGTAATGTAGAAGTACAGGAGTAAGATGAGACAAGGTGGTCGGTAGAGAGGGAGAGAGAGAGGGAGAAATAAAGGCAGAGAAAAAGGGAAATTGGAAAGGAGAGATGTGACGCGGCTCAGATCTACGACCGAGGAGGGTCATTAAACTAAACCCTTTGGCGACAGAGCGACAGATCAGGCGAGGGGAGGGGAGGGGAGAAGGGGGGAAGGGGAGAAGGAGGTTTAAATAAGGGCCAATCTTAAAATAGCAGTACCTATTTCTCATTTGAGGCAGAGTTAACAGGAAAAGGACAAATATCCTGTCCTGAAAACCATCAATGCCCACCCTCATTTCTCCCATCATGGAGAGAGATAGTAGAGGGGAAAAAAGAGTGTTTTTGCACCTGTTGCTCCATTTAGCAAGAACACTCACAAAGAATTCCAATGCACCTATAATGCTTTATGATCTGGATTATAATCCCAGATAGTGCTTACTGCAACACTTGGTAAATACTTCAGTTGGTATACACTAAAAGTGAAAGCGTTAATGACTTGTTATCTACCAAAGGCCCTAAAAATAGAACGTCTCATTAACATTTATAGAATCCATAATGGATGTAAGAATGGTCATTAACCATAATAATTATATTATAATTTATATTTGTTTGTTTGTTTGTTTGTTTTAGTTTTTGCGTGAACTGACCCTTTAAATATTTAGTTCACATAAGGATCAGAATATTTAACTTTTCAAAATGAAAGTAATATTTAGTGGGAATGATTTTTCTTGCTGTAACTGAGTAGATTCCCACAGATTACCAAATAATACATCTGCTGTCAGTTTGGACTCTTCTGAAATAAATCTTTGCTCGTGGATTTAAGGACACAACACAATTTGAAAGTAGGTTGCTTTCACTGCGTTCATGAACTACGTTATCAACCTTAGCAGATAAACAGTAAAGAAATGTTGTGTAGAAGAATTGGTGAATTTGGTCTCTTTGAAACAGTGCCTTTTTATAAACCATTGGCAAACAACAAAAAGACAAAGGTGACAAATTGTTCATATTGATGGTATACCTAAGTTGAGCCAGTCTGAAGTCTATGCGAGCTGATTTCCATTCTCTAAAGAAATGAACAGCATCTAATGGTAAATGGAAACCCATTTAAAAACATTGTGTGTTTGGAAAATGCAGCAGTGTGAAGAATATGCAATTTTAACGGGCTGAATCATGTCTGACCATTGATGTAGTCCTTTAAGTAGCTCAGTGGCTGTATAAATTTTACTTTAACTTTTTATTTATTGTTGCTTTTATCAGTTTAACCTCTAAATAACTACTTAATTACTTTGGCAGTGCAGGAAGAAAATGGATAAAATTATGTCCTATGGATGATATCATGATCAGTTCTAGTCTGCATCATTTTCTCATAACGGAATTGGATGACTTTGATTTTTAATAATAAAGACCCTGTATAAAGTAGACCCTGTGTATCAGTCTTAAGCTACACCTGATTGTATTCGCAGCAGGTAAATCAGCTAAGATCAAAAACAAGATCCAGCACAGAACGCCGGCGGAGAAGAAGCAAAGCACGGCAGGAAAAGAAAGACGACGACTGTGGCTGTGAATAATTAGGCAAAATAGGTTGCTTTTGTTTTTCTCTGTGATTGGAGAAACAGGCGAGGCTGTGACTGGTGCATGAGCTCTCACATACACAAACGATGTGTGTTGCACGCTAATCCGCAACACAGCTGCGTCATTCCGGAACGTTGTGTTTACTTCCTTGTTGCCTTCACCGCCGACCCCCCACAATCCCCCTGCAAACAAACACACACACAGAATCACACACACACAGAATCACACAAAAGAGAACTGGGCGTGTAATTTGATCCTGTGCACTCTCCTCCTCTAATGAAGCTCTCTGGCGGTTTGACTGACAACCGGCTTGTTATTTAAGCGTCTGTTTTGGGCCAGGAGTAGGAAGAAGAGCTGGGAAGAGGAGGAGGAAGCAAGGATGGGGCGGAAGAGACAGGAAAAGTGGAAACAAGGGAGAGGATAGGGTTGGAATTGGGAGGATGGGGATGGATAAATGGACAACAGGACATGAAAACAGGCAAGAAAGATGGAGCAGGGATGGAGTAAAAGAGGGTCATGGGACTCGTAGGGCGATACAGAGAAAAGGAGTCAAAAATAAGAGAGTTTGAAAAAAGAGGACAACAACAATTAAGAGAATAGAAGACAGTTTTGGAGGCTGGAAACAATGGTGATAAAGTGTGTGTGATGGGATTGTGTTCATGAGTGTGTATATGATCGTGTGTATGTGCGAGTGTGTGTATAATTGCAGTTCTTTGTGCTGATAATGTTCTTTGAAGGCACACAGCGGATAATTAGCGAGCTTGGCTCCACGGATGCCTTTCAGCATCGGTCATTATGAGCCGCAAACCCACTATTGGCTCTGACACGACCTCCTGGGACGGAGAGGACGCGGCACGAATGCACACATAGCGCCCTCACACGGTACAGTACACAAATCGGTGTAAACAAGCGTTGATTAGTGTATGAATAGCATCAGCTCACAAGTGGAACTGATACAAAAGCTCTCTAAAGGCCTCAAGTTCCTCTTTAGCACAAGGGCTACAGGTGTGTGTGAGACACACAAATGCACACACACACACTTCCTGTTTACAGAGCCAGACACACATAGACAGCAGAGACTATAATTACAGGGATTCACACAATGTGGCGTCCCGGTACGCTGCGTCCGATATTGCCTCCCTGGTTGCCACATGACAACAGCGGTCTCTCGCTACGGCGACTGCTTCTGGCCCCGCCTCCCCAAGTATTCCCACATCTGAATATTTATGAGAGGGGAACAGGCTCACTGCAGTCAGAAGATGCTGGCTAGAGTATTCTCTCTCCTCAGCAGTGACAGTTGTCAGTGTTAAAGGCTCCTTCCTGAGCTCTAATTTATACCCCGGTGAGAAAATGTCCGATGAGAGCTGCAGTCGGGAAGATACGCTTTCTAAAAACGCCCCCAGTCAGCATAACTGGAGATGCGACGTCATTTGACAACTAGGAGGAATTTGGTCTTTTGGCACCAGAACTTGATGACTGCATGCATTCTTTCAATCAAGAGACTGATTCTCCCAATCAGGAGAATGACGCAGGTTTTACACAAACACACGAGGATCTCACAGACCTGAGAAAGCTTCCTCTTGTGTCTCAAAATCAGACTTTGTCTCGAGGAAGAATGATCAACCTCTCTCTGTTCTTCTTTTTTCCTCCCCTACAAGCAGCATGCTGTACATTCATATAGTGTAAACACTGGCTCCAGTGCAGCGTGTGAACAGTGTGGTGCCTTACTGATGGGCACTCAAAACGTATTCAATCACCTACCTGTAGTGGGATCTAGCCTTGCAGATTTGCATACGTTGTGAGACATCTATATCTAAAAGCATGGATGTTTATTCTTGACCTTGGGATTAATATCAGTAACAAAATAATGTCAACTCAAGGTTCACTTAATGTCTTTTTTGGAGCTTTCAACCTTACTCATCTTGTTACTAAAGTGTGGATGTTGAGAACAAGTGGACGTATTAGGGGGGATATCACAACCCCAGTTTTACTTCAATGATGGTTTCATTCATTCATTTCCTGGTGAGATTATTTTGTTGCACATATCTAAAACATTCACTGCCATCCCAACTTTACTTGCAGATGTTTGCACCAAATGTATCTTGGGTTTCTTTGCTAGGCAACATAACAGAAGTTAAAAAAACATGGTTATTTATATTTTCTTTTGCTGAGTGGGGACCAATATCTCAAAACCTGAACAGGTAAAGCCCGAAATGTCTGCATGACTAGACTCCACTAGAGGTAAGTGAGAAAATCTTTTTGTTTGTGTGTGATTTGGGTGAACTTACCCTACTGACTGACAATTCATTCATTTTCCCACCTGGACTTGGGATTCAAACCGTCATACACACCCTGCCTGTCTGTGCTTTCTACTGTCACAGCAGGAAAAGTGGGATTGAAATTCTCATTGGGTTTTTAATTTTGGGAGACGGTGCTGGTGTCATGCTGGCTGTTCATCCATTTTTCATCTAAACACATGAATTATGAAGAACTGCTAATGACGGGGAGGGTTAGAGAGGGGAGGAGGTAGGGGAGAGAGCTGGACGGACGTTTAGACATCTTTTCTATCTTCACTTCTTCACAATCTGGCTTTTCTCTCAGGAATGTTTTTATTTCTCTCTGAGTGACACGGGACAAGACACACACACACACACACACACACACACACACACACACGCACACGCGCACACACACACACACACAGTGTGGCAGGTGAACATACAGTGTGTGATTCAGACCATTGACCTGGAACACATTGGGTACTGAGGGAATAAAAAAATATCACACACACAGACACTGAGCTCAGAGCCTTTATTACTCTTGTTGTAGGTCCTTCTATAAATTAATTGTTAAAATAATCATTTTCATAACAATTTCCAATTTCCAGTATTATTTGTTCGTATAGTTTGTTTATTTTATTTTAGTAGTTGTTTTTAAATGTAATTATTGTATATATTACTTAATATATTTGAATGTAATGTAATGATTATACTATTAGTAGTAGTAGTAGTATTGTTATTGTTGTTTTTATGAATTCAAGTCATATTCATATTAATTTAACATGTTTAATTTATTATTTATATTATTAAATGTAATTCTATTGTTTTGTTTATTAAATTTTTTTTTTATACATAACATGTAATATACTTTTATTTTAAACTATTTTAATGGCATTTAATATTTGCCATGTTTATATTATTATATTTTGATTATTTCACTTATTGTT